ATCGCAGAAAAACAAAATATCGCAATGTGAGTTTTTTCCAATATTGTGCAGCCCTAATTTTCCTCTTCCCCTAATAATTTGATATTTGCCAACTTAAATGGACTTCCAGGGTATTTTTATCTTTATAATGGCAATGTTTTCCGAACTTATGACGTGTGCTTCTTGTATGCATCTAATTCCTACATTTTAATCAATAAATGTAATTAGAATAATTAAAAACTTTTATCAATCAAATCTTTGCACTGCAGAAGCGGCACAGAAATGCTAAAGTGGCGTTAAGGTGTATTTACACAGATCGTTTGTTAATGCTATGAGATTTTTAAAAATTAGGCCTTTTATTTAACTATGAAATTATACTAGAAAAATAAAATTTATCATTTTAATTGAAACTGTAACCACCAGTAGGTGGCGGCAAGTCTTAATGAGTGAGTCATTGAATTATTCACTCAACCGATTCATTCAAACGGATGATTCATTCAGCCACAGAATCGTTCATTAAAATTATTTATTTAAAACAGATTCATTCAGTGTGTTTTTCAGAGACAGAAGAGTTCTGCTGTGGAAATTTTCTTGACAAAATAAAGCAAAAACGTGAAAAAAAAGCTCAAAATGTATACTTATTAAATCAATATGACACTTGCAATCTTGAATATTGAGTTGTGTGTGTGTTTGTCAGGTCTGAAGCAGAACGGCGTGCGGCCCACGGTGCCGGCGGTGCGCAGGGCTCTGGAGAACACGGCTCTGAAAGTGGAGGATATAGAGGTGTTTGCACAGGGTCACGGCATCATTCAGGTACTGAGGAGCGGAGCAGTGATGCTCATTATAAGGCAAATGATGGTATCACATTTTCATGTTGCGATTAATTGCTAATGCTTTCATCACGGTATACGGTATTATCACAGTATTGAAATTTAGTTGCAAAAAAGTGTTGTCGTAAAACAGTATAACAGGTTTAATGACTTTTTTCTTATAACAAGAAGAACTGAACATTTACATACAATAAAGTAATACACAAAGTATAAAGTAAAAAATTTCACACAGATAAAAGTGATAAAAGGCCAATACGTAACACTTTACAATAAGATCTCATTAGTTAACCTTAGTTAATGCATTAACATTAATAATGCGCAATAGCTACATTTGTTACTACAGAAGTTATTCTTTGTTTAAAATACAACCGTTAGTTCATTAATTAACAGTTGCAACTTTTTATTTTAACCACGTGTTATTAAATTTTGAAATTATTTGAAATCATTGAGAATTCATTCACGAAGAAGAAATTTCCATTGACAGTTTGTTTACTAATGAATTAACTAATGTTAATTAATAGAGCCTTAATGTAAAGTGTGACGGAGCAATAAAGAATCATAACATTGTCAAACAATATCTAGGGCATGTTGTAATCCAGATTAAAATTATAAAAAAGTTTGAAAATAAATAGCCTATTAAGTCTAAATATTTAAGTATTTGGCTCTGTGATGAACATCATAGCAAATACACAAATCTGTATGGCTATTTAAACTAGGGCTGGGTTTTGACACAAATTTCACGATTCGATTTGATTCTCATTCATAATCTTTCGATTAGATTATTTTGGATATGTATCGGGTACAGTACATGCAAAATTTTCTCAAGGAAAAAAAATCTCTCAACTAATGCTGTAAAGTATACATGAGAGTCAGTTGGTACTATATTACTATAATATTGAAGGTTAAAATTGACTGATTTGTAGGCTATACAACTGCTAAAATGTAAAATAATACAGTTACAATTACATAATAATATTTCTACTTCAATTCGTTTTCTTGAAATATAAACATTTTAAATGGTGACTGTCATAAAAACTTGATGGATTTATTCAAACATAAATTAAACATTGAAGAACAGTAAAAATTATAATGAATATGTTATGTGTTACATATATTTAGCAAAATGTCCCTCTCTACAGTTTATTTTTCTGCCTGACTAATGATTTTATGGTCACCGAATATGTTTTTTCTGAGGTAAATGTGACGTTACGTGACATATTGTTTACAAGCCGTTATATTGACGTCTTTGCGCGGCTGAAACACTGATTGAACGATTAATGTTACATGATAAAGTTGTACTCTTTCTTTTAACTTGCCTTCGGATGTTTAGTCATGTTTATTTTGTGCTATAACTAGTATTAAAGCGGAGGAGATGATCAGTTCACTGAGGAGCTCCAACGATCTGTCACTCCACATTAAACAGCGCCAAAACTGCATTTATTGTTTAAATACTGCAATAAAATGGACAGCATTTGAAATCTCAGACTTTGTTTCATATTAAAAGTACCAACGCACAATGCTTATTGCGATATATTGGATGGGAAGTGCCCTTCAACATTCCGTCCATTAACTGAAAACAGGCTAGAATAATCGATTCTTGGGATGTAAGAATCGATAATAGTTATCGGATATTTACTGTACTTCGCAATCACAGATTCTAGCCTACGTCTTGGAATATATGACCCAAATAAGAATTTTCACCGTATATTGTCATCTGAACAAGTAACAAGTCTGCCACATTTGTTCTGACCAACTGAGGAAAAAAGCATTACAATAAATCGCGCTACCAATGGCCATTTATTCTAAAGATTGGTTAGCTTATATCACATCAAACCATGCAAATTATTATTATTGTTATACTTTATTCTCAAATTATTAATGTTAACAACATCAGCATTGCCTATAGTGTGTATTAGCGTGTAGATTTCAATTTCTGTACAGTCTAATCTCTAATTGTCATACCATTCGAATTTCATATTAAGAAATTCTTTTAACTGAAAAATCTAATTATTCTCCCTTCGAACTGGTTGTTTTTAAAATACAAATCTTGTGTAATCCCAGGCTATCTGTAATCAGAAGCACATTTAAAACTGGAATATAATTTAATTTCATTCACATGCGTTTCATAAACACATAATCCTTTCTGGATTACAATCCGCCATCAAAATGATACATTTAATTATTCCAGCTGCTGTGAGAAAAGGCTATAAACGATCCGCCACCTGCAGGATCCTCACATGCGATATAGTCTACTAGCCGGGACAACTTCTTTGTTTACAGACGTGACGTAATAATGCGGCAGCATGCTCGCATTTCCCGTGAAAGCCTACCCCTACCACTCAAACTAGAAAACATTATTATAAACTAACCGTTGTGAATCGGGCTAAAGTAAGGCGATAGTTTTGAACACTGGCTGGTTATGTACTTGCTCAAATATTGATTCAGATAATTTTTAACCAAAAAAAGTTACGGACTGCAGCTTTAAATACGCTTTAGAAAGTAGCTCAGCTGCTTTGTTTCCAGGGTAACGGCTGCATTTCTGCTGTTTAGCGCCACCTGCTGTCAGAGAGTGAAAGTGCGCTTCTCATCCGTGCTTGTTTGCTTCGGAGAGCGCATGCATCTTTGACGCAGCATACAGCGGTGTTGTGCGTTGTGACCGGTTAATGGGAAAAATATTAGGGATGCACAATATTATCGGACTGATATCGGAATCAGCCGATAATGGCTTTAAATGTAAATATCGGCATCGGCCCGATATGAAAAATTATGCCGATATGTCTTGCCGATAAGAGGGAATACGTTAACTCGCATGTGCTCAGGGTGTGCTAGCGATTAGATCACGTCAGCAGTGTGGCACAGGAGAGACTTGTTGTTGTTTCCAAACAAAAGGAAATATATCGGTATCGGCCAAAATGAGTTGGAAAATATTGGATTAAAAAAATCCAATATCGTGCATCCCTAAAAAATATTCTTAAAATGCATTCAAAAAATCGGAATAATTTGTAATAATTATTCACGGTATTTTGAAGTGCTTACTATAACAATATCATGCATATTCATTACCGTGATATATTGCATTACTGAATACCGGCACATGTCTACTCATTATGCATGCATTCGTGTGTTCATGACCGCGTTTGTGTGATGTGCAGGTGGAGCGGGCATTCGACTACCTCATGCAGCATGTGTCGCTGCCCACCAGCAGCCTCGGCTTCACCGTGACCGTGGGATCGCAGCGAGGCATCTACCTCAGGGGCCCGACACAGGTCACCGGCCCGTCCGATCACGGGGTCGGCATCGAGCCTGTGTTTCCAGAGAATACAGGTACATGCTACAGTTCATAGTGGAGCTGAATGCAGTGGAGAATATGTTTACAGATCTCTCAGAGTTTGAGATTAATCAGGATAATGCCAGAACAAGGGTGCAGTTAATTACTGTTCATTATTTGACCTTTTTAACCTGGACTGAAGGAGCTCTGATAAATCATCTCATGTATACCAGGGTTCTAATCGTTACTTTCATTAAATAAACATTAACTGAAATAAATAAACATGCTGAGATAAAATAAAATAGAAAAAAACATTTTTAGGTAGTTGCCAAGGTGTTTAGTTTAAGATTAAGTACTTAAATATCTAAATAAACTAAAAGTAAAACTTCATAAAAAATATGTAGACATATTAAAAAAGATAATATAAATGGCAAAAACGACAACAAAATTAAAACTTTAAATGAAATTAAAATTAAAACAAAATGTAAAAACAAAATCAAAATATTATCAAAAACTATGATCCTATTATTCCTGTGATGCGCAGCTGTATTTTCAGCATCATTACTCCAGTCTTCAGTGTCACACGATCTTCAGAAATCATTCTAATATGCTGATTTGCTGCTCAAGAAACATTTCTGATTATTATTAATGTTGAAAACAGTTGTGCTGCGCAATATTTTTGTGGAAACTGTGACACATTTTATTTTTCTGGATTCACAGATGAATAGCAAGTTCAAAAGAACAGCATTTATTTGAAATTGGAATCTTTTGTAACATTATAAATGTCTTTACTGGCACTTTTGAGCAATTTAATGCGTCCTTGATGAATAAAAATACACATTTCTTTCAAAACAAACAGTTTCTACCCAATGTTTTCTCTCCAGAGAACTCGGCCCGTATCTCGCTGCAGCTGCATCTGGCTCTCGTCTGCAACGCTGCCTGGGTTCACTGTCCGTCGCATCTGGAGCTCATGAATCAGTGCCGGCACGTCAACGTTCGCATCGACCCGCAGGGCCTGCGAGAGGGGCTGCACTACACCGAGGCACGTCCACAGATCCATCTACGCTCACACTATTTGATTGTCCTCAACTCTAATGATGATGAAGAACTAGGGCTGGGCGATTTTTCAGATTTTAGCGATTAATTGGGTTGGCTTGAGAAAGCCCAACCTACTGATCTGCTATTTAAGCTTTTTATTATTATTATTCTTAGACTAAATTTCTGAACGCTACTCCTCCTAGAGCTTTCAAGCTAGAACCACCAAACTCAGCCCAGCTCTTCGGACTGTTCTGACTTAGTGTGCTATATCTTTTCAGACTGATCCAACTTATGAGATTAAAATTTTTTGCCATATCGCCCAGCCCTATGATGAACATATGTGTGTGTGTGTACAGTACATAGTGTGTGTGTGTACGTACGTAGTGTGTGTGTGTGTACAGTATGTAGTGTGTGTGTGTACAGTATGTAGTGTGTGTGTGTACAGTACATAGTGTGTTGTGTGTACAGTACATAGTGTGTGTACAGTATATTGTGTGTGTACAGTACATTGTGTGTGTGTGCAGTACGTAGTGTGTGTGTGTGTACAGTACATAGTGTGTGTGTGTGTACAGTACATAGTGTGTGTGTGTGCGTGTGTAGTACGTAGTGTGTGTGTGTGTGTACAGTACGTAGTGTGTGTACAGTACGTTGTGTGTGTGTGTGTACAGTACGTTGTGTGTGTGTGTGTGTGTGTGTGTAGAGCACGGTGTGTGTGTGTGTGTGTGTGTGTTTTCCAGGTGTGTGGATACGACACGTTGGCTCTCAGCGCCGGTCCTCTCTTCAGAGTGCCTATAACGGTTATAATCCCTGCGAGGTACGTGCGACCGCTCTGTTCCGCTCGCATCTGTGTTTCTGCTCACCTGTGACGTGTGTGTTTGTCTCTTATAGAGTAGCTGACAGTCGCAGTCAGGAGATCACGTTCACAGACCTCCACTTCAGACCAGGACAGATCCGGCGGCATTTCATTACCGTTCCTCGTGGAGCATCATGGGCAGGTGATGTGATGCTGCATCACTGCAGGATTCTCCCAAACATTGATCTGTGATCTAACTATTCAGTCTCTTTCAGAGATCTCGTTAACGTCTCATTCTGGAGACGTGTCGTCGAAGTTCGTCCTGCATGCGGTTCATCTGGTGAAGCAGCGAGCGTATCGAGTCAATGAGTTTTATAAGTTCTCGTCTCTCCTGGAGAAGGGCTCGCTCACGGAGGCTTTTCCTGTGCTGGTACACAATACGCAAACTATTAGGGCTGCCCACTAATAGCCAACTAACTGTTATTCGACGAGAAGAGGCAGAAAAAAATGTTTTGAAGATATTTTGTAAATTTCCTACCGTAAATATATCAACTTAATTTTTGATTAGTAATATGCATTGCTAAGAACTTAATTTGGACAACTTTAAAGATGATCAATATTTAGATTTTTTTTTGCACCCTCAGATTCCAGAATTTCAAATAGTTGCTTTTCAAGTATTCAGCTTTCAGATGATGCATAAATCTCAGTTTCAGAAAAATGGACCCTTATGACTGGTTTTGTGGTCCAGGGTCACATATATGTCTTATCATCTGAAATATGTTAATAGCAGCAACTTTACACGGTTGCTTAATCTAACATAAACCTAGAAAACTTGACTTCACTTAAAATACTCAGTCATTTTTGGTCATACAGATAAGAGTAATACATCTTTCGAATCTGTAAAGACTCTACGTTTATTTGTGGGCACTCAAAATAACGACAAAAATTGTGCTTTTGTAAAATAATGAAAGCAAACAGGATTTACTTTCTGCCGTCTCGGTCTCTGTGAACATGAGCGTGTAAACTTACATTACAGACATGAAAAATATATCTATAGAAAGCAAAATGTCTACTTTTAAATAAACCAATTCCAACCAATGGAAAATTTCAGATTTTCAGATTCCAAAATATTCTCAAATCATGTAATCCGTATGAAACATGCATACAGGCGCATCCACGACTGTGGAGATGATGAGTCGGTGTTGGCGAGTTAATCTCTTAAACCGAGAACAAAGAAAGCACTAGTTTATCAATGAATTATCAAAATGTTAATGCAGCCTCCTTACTTGCCTTACAGGAGATACTTTCGAATCTGTAAAGACACTACGTTTATTTGTGGGCACTCAAAATAACGACAAAAATTGTGCTTTTGTAAAATAATGAAAGCAAACAGGATTTACTTTCTGCCGTCTCGGTCTCTGTGAACATGAGCGTGTAAACTTACGTTACACACATGAAAAATATATCTATAGAGGCGTTTGAGCGCTGATAGGCTGTAGGCAATTAAAGGCTCATTTTTAGGAATTACATGGTTTATTAATAAACGTGAGATTAGTCGACTAATTGCGTAAAAATGAACGACTACTAGTCGACCAGGGGTGCGTTTCCCAAAAGCATCGTTAGCTAACTATGGTCGTTAGTTCCAGTGAACTCTATTGTAATGACGGAACTTGAGACCATAGTTCCTTTTGGGAAACGCACCATAGTCGAGGGCAGCCCTACAAACTATAACACATATATTTTTTCATATGTGGTTTGTCTGTGTCTGTCGGGTCACATGTTCATCTGTGTGTCTTTCTCAGCCAGGACACACTCTGGAGCTCTGTGTTGCTCGCTGGTGGGCGAGTCTGGGTGACGTCACCATTGATTATGTCATTTCCTTCCATGGGCTGCTGACGACACCTTCTCCTATTCATATCGTGAGTATCTTTAGGATTTAATGGCAGAAGCAGAAAGAAAATAATACTTTTATTCATCAAGGATGCATTAAATTGATCAGAAGTGACGGTAAAGACATTTATAATGCCACAAAAGATTTCTGTTTCAAATAAATGCTGCTCTTCTGAACTTTTCTATTCATCCGTGAATCCTGAAAAATCAAATCTATCACAGTTTCCACAAAAATATTGTGCAGCACAACTGTTTTCAACATTGATAATAATCAGAAATGTTTCTCGAGCAGCAAATCAGCATATTATTATGATTTCTGAAGATCATGTGACACTGAAGACTGGAGTAATGATGCTGAAAATACAGCTTTGATCACAGAAATACATTACAGTTTAACAGATATTCACATAGAAAACAGCTGTTTTACATTGTAATAATATTTCACAATTTTTACTGTATTCTTGATCAAATAATTGCAGCCTCGGTGAGCAGAAGAGACTTCTTTCAAACACATTAAAAAAAATCTTACCAACCCCAAATTTTAAATTCTCTCTGTCAGTTAGTTTTATTGTTTTACCTTTAGCAGCACACGCCAAATTCATTAATGGCTCTTGTTTCGTGTGTTTCTGTTTCTAGCACGCCTCTGAAGGGATTTCTAGTTTTCAGGTTTGTTCTCCGCTGAGATATGAAGACGTTTCCCCAACAATCACACTGAAGAACTGGGTTCAGCCTCTCCGGTAAACACACGCACCTCACAGATCACCAGTTAAATACATTGCAAAAAAAAAGCATCCTAAAGCTATTTTAAGCATCATATCGTCCTGATCTAGTGTATATACTCGCGTTTACTGTCGGAAGGATGTTCAGTGAAGCCCATAAATACAGTTTAAGTGGGGACTTTGTTGTAGGATATGACTCTTTGATCATAAAGCACCTTCAGAAGATGAAGAGCTCCCAGAGGAACGCTTCAGAAACCTTGTGTTTAAATACTGTATAAGTGTTCATGAAATATGCACGATTCTCCTCGACAGGCCTGTAAGTGCTAAAATAAAACCCCTCGGCGCCAGAGATGTGTTACCCAACAACAGACAGCTGTATGAGATCGTCCTCACTTATAATTTCCATCAGGTGAGTGTGATGATAACTGCGTCTTTGCGGTTTTTATTAATGTATAATATTAGTTTACAGTGTTTGCATGGTTGATTTGTGAGCCTGGAGCACAAAAGCAGTCTTAAGTCGCTGGGGTATATTTGTAGCAATAGCCAACAACACATTGTATGGGTCAAAATTATCCATTTTTCTTTTATGCCAAAAATCATTAGGATATTAAGTAAAGATCATGTTCCATGAAGATATTTTGTATGTTTCCTACCGTAAATATATCAAAACGTAATATGCATTGCTAAGAACTTCATTTGGACAACTTTAAAGATGATTTTCTCAGTATTTAGATTTTTTTGCACCCTCAGATTCCAGATTTTCAAATATTGTCCTATCCTAACAAACCATACATCAATGGAAAGCTTATTTATTCAGCTTTCAGATGATGCATAAATCTCAATTTTAAAAAAATGGACCCTTATGACTGGTTTTGTGCTCCAGGGTCACATTTATTGATTCTTATTGAGTTATTGGTGTTGTTTTTCCAGCCCAAGAGTGGCGAGGTGACGCCTAGCTGTCCGCTGCTGTGTGAGTTATTATACGAGTCTGAGTTTGACAGTCAGCTCTGGCTCCTGTTTGACCAGAACAAGAGGCTCATGGGATCTGGAGACGCTTATCCACACCAGGTGAGCAGAACATAAGCTTCACATGATCACATCATGATGCAAACCTGCTGAACTCTGCAGGGTTTTACTAATACTAATGAAATACTAATACTTCGAGCTGGCACAGCATGTGTGCATTTAGCCTATTCTAAATGTTTTTAGACTACCGTTTTTCATACAAATACCTAAAAACCATAGAGTTATATTTTTACCATGGTATGCTATATGTGTGGTCTTAACTGTGTTTATCATGATTTAAATGTATGCTACTATGGACCAATGATTAAAAAAAAAATCACTATATAAAAATGAGGTTGCTACAATTTTTACAGATGTTACTGATTTTGATAATGAACCAAAATTTACATCTGCATCCTGCTACTACTATCAAATGTGCATTTCTTAGAGACAAAAAAAGTTATATTATTATTAATATTATCAGGCAGCAACACAAACCTGTTTCTTGATTTGAAACAATGTCACATGCAGAAATTAAGATATTTATTATGTTAAGGAAAATTAACAAATGGTCTGGTTTCTACAACTTTCACTTTGGAGCAAAAATTTGGCCTTAGACTTGAAAGAAATAAAGATTTGACATTTATCGTGATAATTATCGATATCGACTGATAGGGGAAAAAAGTATCGTGATATACCACATACTAAGAAATACTAATGCCACATTAAACCTAAAGAAATGTTATAAGTAAATATAAATTTAAACCATTTTGTGATAGAGCCTCCGGTTTCAAAAATAGCTTTTATTTAACATTTCCAACATTCAACACAATTTAAGCTAATTTGGGCTGCACAATTTCACCAAAAAGTCTAATTGCAAGTATTTGGTCATGTATTGTAATTGCAATTCAAACTTACTCATTTATTTATTTGTTACAAATTAAGACAGCAAAAATGTTAACATTGTACTGGTAGGTCAAATTTTGATATTTAATAATAATAATAATAATAATAATAAATAACATGCTCTAACCCAAGTTTCCTAAACCTCAGGGCTTTATGATAGGATTTCAGATTGTGATGTAAATACTAATGCCAAATTAAAAATTATAATCTAACATAATTTATCAAATTAAACCATTCTGTGATTGAGCATTTTCCAGTCAGAGAAATAACTTGATATTTCTGACATATAACAAAATACATGTTAATTTGGGATGCACGATTTTCACAAAAAAAGTCTAATTGCAAATGTTTTGTCGTATTCTGAGTGCAATTTGATTTTTTTTTTTTTTTTTTTTAGTGTTGTTGTTATATATTA